CACACACACTGACACACACACACTGACACACACACACTGACACACACACACTGACACACACACTGACACACACACACTTACACACACACACTTACACACTAACACACACACTGACACACTTACACACACACTGACACACACACACACACTTACACACACACACTGACACACACACACACTTACACACACACACTTACACACACACACTTACACACACACACTGACACACACACACTGACACACACACACTGACACACACACACTGACACACTGACACACACACACTGACACACACACACTGACACACACACACTGACACACACACACTGACACACACACTGACACACACACACACTTATACACTTACACACACACTGACACACACACACTGACACACACACACACTTACACACTTACACACACACTGACACACACACACTGACACACACACACACTTACACACTTACACACACACTGACACACACACACACTTACACACTTACACACACACTGACACACACACACACACTGACACACACACTGACACACACACACAGACACACACACTAATACACACACACACACACTGACACACACACACACACTGACACACACACACACACACTGACACACACACACACACTTACACACACACACACACACTGACACACACACACACACTGACACACACACACACTGACACACACACACTTACACACACACACACTGACACACACACACACACACACTGACACACACACACACACTGACACACACACACTTACACACACACTGACACACTTACACACACACACTTACACACACACTGACACACACACACTTACACACACACACTTACACACACACACTTACACACTTACACACACACACACTGACACACACACACTGACACACACACACACACACTGACACACACACACTTACACACACTTACACACACACACTGACACACACACACTTACACACGCACACTTACACACACACACTTACACACGCACACTTACACACACGCACTGACACACACACACTTACACACACACACTTACACACACACTCACACACACACTTACACACTTACACACACACACTGACACACACACACTGACACACACACACACACACTGACACACACACACTTACACACACTTACACACACACACTGACACACACACACTTACACACGCACACTTACACACACACACTTACACACGCACACTTACACACACGCACTGACACACACACACTTACACACACACACTTACACACACACTCACACACACACTTACACACGCACACTTACACACACACACTTACACACACACTGACACACACACACTTACACACACACACACTTACACACACACACTTACACACACACTTACACACACACACTTACACACACACACTGACACACACACACTTACACACGCACACTTACACACACACACTTACACACACACACACACTTACACACACACACTGACACACTAACACACACACACACTGACACACACTGACACACACACACACACTGACACACACACACTGACACACACACACACACACTGACACACACACACTTACACACACACACTTACACACACACACTTACACACACACACTTACACACACACACTGACACACTAACACACACACACACTGACACACACACACTGACACACACACACTGACACACACACACACACACACTTACACACACACACTTACACACACACACTTACACACACACACTGACACACTAACACACACACACACTGACACACACACACACTTACACACTTACACACACACTGACACACACACACTTACACACACACACTTACACACACACACACTTACACACACACTGACACACACACACTTACACACGCACACTGACACACACACTTACACAAACACACTGACACACACACACTGACACACACACACTGACACACTTACACATACACACTTACACACTTACACACACACACTTACACACACACTGACACACTAACACACACACACACTGACACACACACACTGACACACACACACTGACACACACACTTACACACACACACTGACACACACACACTGACACACACACACTGACACACACACTGACACACACACACTTACACACACACACTGACACACACACTGACACACACACACTTACACACACACACTGACACACACACACTTACACACACACACACTGACACACACACACACTTACACACACACACTGACACACACACACTTACACACACTTACACACACACACACACTTACACACACACTGACACACACACTGACACACTTACACACACACACTTACGTACGCACACACACACACACTTACACACGCACACACACACTTACACACACACACTTACACACACACTTACACACACACTTACACACACTTACACACACACTTACACACACACACACTGACACACACACACTTACACACGCACACTTACACACACTTACACACACTTACACACACACACTGACACTGACACACACACACTGACACACACATACACGCTGACACACACACGCTGACACACACACACTTACACACACTGACACGCACACTGACACACACACACACTGACACACACACACTGACACACACACACACTGACACACACACACTGACACACACACACTGACACACACACACACTGACACACACACACTGACACACACACACACTGACACGCACGCTGATACACGCTGACACACACACGCTGAAACACACACACACACACTGACACACACACACTTACACACACACACTGACACACACACACTGACACACACACACTGACACATACATACACTGACACACACACTGACACACACTGACACACACACACTGACACATACATACACTGACACACACACTGACACACACACTGACACACACACACTTACACACACACACTGACACACACACACTGACACACACACTGACACATACATACACTGACACACGCTGACACACACACGCTGACACACACACACTGACACACACACACACTGACACACACACACTGACACACACACACTGACACGCACGCTGATACACGCTGACACACACACGCTGAAACACACACACACGCTGACACACACACACACACACTGACACACACACACTTACACACACACACTGACACACACGCTTACACGTACTTACACACACACTGACACACACCCAAAAAAAGATAAAGATCCACCATATAGCCTTAACAGACTGTAGAGGCAAGTGCTGTTAGCGAGCACACACACACACTGACACACACGCACTTACAAAACAACCCCCTACCTCCTCGCGGTGCAGGATGGGCAACTCTGTTGTGGACAGTGCTGTGGAGGGAGTTCCAATTCCGATTGGCTCCTCCCCTCATGGCATCTGTGTCCACCACAGTGGCTAAACGGGGGCTCTGGACGGGTGCGAGGGGCTGGTAACCCCTCCACCTTCAATTAATTACCACTAAACCGCGAATTAAAATATGACACACACACACTGACACACACACACAGACACACACTCGCTGACACACACACTGACACACACACACAGACACACACACGCTGACACACACACACAGACACACACACACTGACGCACACACACACACTGACACACACTGACACACACTCGCTGACACACACACACACTGACAGACACACACACACACTGACACAACAACAACAACAACAACCGCCATTCGCCACTAAGTGGCGGTGACGTCACCACGACACTCGTGCCAGGCCATGTGCACCTTGAGGCCACGTGAAGTGTCGAACGCCCGCTGGCAGGAGGTCACGGGGCAGACCCAGGTGCGACCGATCGACTGACTGAGATGACTGAGATGACTGGCTGATGCACCACCTGTGCCCCCTACTGTGCCAACCTGCTGTGCTTTAGCCACCCGGCGCTCCGCTCGTTGTTGTGAGCGTCGCTCCTCCGCCCTCCGTTGTTGGTGGAGGGCGACTGCCTCCAACTGCCCAGTAGCATCCTTCACGAGCCTCCTCCACAGAGGCCGATCTTGACACCGCTGGTACCAGTCATCGGCAACTCCACTCAGCTCCACGTCCTCCTGTACCACATCACTCCATCTCTTCTCTAGCCCGTGCCACGCCTGTTTAGCCCTCTCGATCCGGCTGAACAAAAGCTGTTTCAGCATGCGGTAGCTGGGCATGCGAGCTACATGACCCAGCCAACGCAGCCTTGCCTGCCGAAGGAGCTCACCGATGGGACCGTGCCCAGATCTTTCAAGGATTTGTGAGCTCCTCACACAATCCAGCCTGGTTAAACCCAGGATGGATCGTAGGCAGGCCAGCCTAAATGTTTCTAACCGGCGAGATGCTCCATTAACTGGGTCCACGTTTCGCAAGCGTAGAGAAGGGAGGGAATGACCGTGGCCGAAAAAACCAGAAGCTTAGTGTGGAGCGACAGACCAGGTAGCTTCCACACAGCGTTACGCAACCGATGAAAAGATATTGCCGCTCGACTGATTCGGAGTGAGACCTCTGCTGTTTAACCGGAGCCGGTCATGAGCACACTGCCCAGGTATGGGAAACTCTCCACTCTCTCCACAACTGCCCCATCACCGATTGGGAGTTGTGGGGGTGGAGTGTCCGATGGTACAAAATACCCAGGCAGGTGCTTAGTTTTGGTGGGGCTGATGGTAAGGCCCCACCTCTTAGTGGCACGCTCCAGTCTCAACAGCAGCGTCTCCAACTCCTCCTCTGAATGAGCAGGTATTACCAAATCATCGGCATACACAACGTGGTTGAGCAATAGGGAGCCATCCCTTGACCGCACCCGGGCATCGATCAGCCTCCCATTATATCTGTACCATATGGAGATTCCCCCGGTACAGCTATTGAAGGCTTCACGAACTACGTGGTCAAAATAGATGTTAAATAATGTGGGAGCCAGAGGACATCCCTGTCACACCCCAAGGTGTACAGGGAATGGCTCTGACTCCCGGCCACGTAGTTTTACCCGGGCCCGCTCACCATCATTAATGATCGTGAGCAGAGGGTCAGGGACTCAGAAAGCAGGAAGAACAACCCAGCGCCCAGGCCTACTGATGGTATCATAGGCCTTGACCAGGTCAATAAAGCAGAGATGTAGGTCTTGTTGGAATTCCCTACACCTCTGCCGTAGCAGACGGCCAGAAAAATTGGCATCTGTGCAGGACTGCCCTTTCCTGAAACCGCATTGGGGCTCCGCAAGCCTCTCCTCAGCATGCCTGGCAAGGCGATGTTGAATAATCCTTGCCAGGACCTTTCCCGGCACACTGAGGAGTGAGATGCCCCTGTAGTTGTTACAGTCTGTGCGGTCGCCCTTCTTAAAGAGGGGGAGACCACCAGGGCATCCTTCCAATCCTGCGGAACCCATCCAGTGGTCCAGACTGTTGTAATGATGTCATGTAGGGCAGTCTGTGCACAAACGCCACCCTCCCTCGGATTTCGCTTGGGAGATAATCTCTGCCCGCTGCCTTTCCTGGTCTCAGACTCTGGATCGCCTTCAGTACTTCCTCAACAGATGGCACCTCAGCCAGCCACTCATAGGAGGTGACTTCTTCCAATATTTGAGGCACCGCAGCCTCAGCAGGGTCATCCTCACTTTGTGCCACGATGTTTTCCTGGCTGAGGGATTTCCCCTCCCCCAGGACCTCACAGAAATGCTCAGCAAATCTGCAAACCTGTTCCTAGGGGTCGGAGATTGGATCACCGTTTTTCCCCCTAATGATGGTAATAGGTGTGGCGCTGCAGGTTACTTTTTTGATGGAGTTAAATAGAGATTTGTGATCGCGGGCCACTGAGGCAGACTCCATCTCCTCAGCAACCCGCGACCACCACCCATCCTTGCAGCGCCTCACGGCTCTCCGAACCTCCGAGCGAAGGCTGCGGTAAGCCTCCTCATTCTCTGACGTGGGATTCTGTAGCCGATGACAGTGGGCCTGTCGCTTTTTCTCAACCATCCTGAACGCCTCCTCTGTCAGCCAGGATCTCTGGGGAGGTCTGGACCGTGTACCCAATGCAGCCATTGCAGCTGCATGAGTCACAGTCCTAAACCTCGCCCATTTACCCTCAACATCAGGAGGAGTGGGGGACGATGCCAACCCCAGCCGCAAGCGATGAAGAAATTCTCGCTTGCAACTTTCATCAGCTAACTGAGACCAGGCCACCTTAGGTTGGAATGGGGTCCTGGGTGTACACCCACCACCGGAGTGGAAGAATGGCAGGCGCATCTTACAAATGACAAGTCGATGGTCAGAGGGCAGATCAGCTCCACGGTAGGGCCTGGTGTCAAGGACATGGGATCGCATCCGCTGATCCGTCACTATGTAGTCCAGCAGATGTTCTTGCTTGGACCCGGCATGTATCCATGATGTTGTGTGGATGCGCCGATGCCGGAACAGCATGTTGGTAATTACAAGCCCATGGGCTGCACAAAAATCTAGCAGCCTCCTACCGTTGTTATTGAGCTGATCTGGCCCATGCCTTCCAATCACTCCAGACCAGGTGCCAGCATCATGACCAACTCGGGCATTGAAGTCACCCAACATGATGACTCTATCCTGAGGGGCCACTTTAGCCAGCACCTGTGACAGGAGGTCATAGAAGGCATCTGACTCATCGGCTTTGCCTGCATCCCTCCACGGATGTTCATCTTCGGTGGGGGCATAAGTAACCACGACCACCACTCCTCGCCTCCGGTTGATGGGAAGGCGATCCCAAAGTAGCCTGGGGCTTACAGCTTCCCACACCTCACCGCCACGCTCCCACGCCCCCTTCATTCTTTTGTTCAGAAGAAGAGCCACACCCTGTTGTTTGGCAGTCTGCTGCCCCGGGTAGATGACTGTCCACCCCTCATGGTGACAGGAGCCAGAGCCGGTCCACCGGACCTCCTGAATGCCACAGAGATCCAGGCGGTACCAGTCCAGCTCCTGACAGAGGAGCGGCAGCCTCTCCTCCGCAGTGAGCGTTCGAACATTCCACGTGGCCACACGTAGTGGCTTTTCGTTGTTTCTGGAGGAGCCCCGAGGGTAGAGATTCAATCTCCTGGCTAAGCCAATTGGAGTTTGGCCAGGAGACGTCATAGACGCCTTTCCCCCCGGGGCCTCCGGCACAAGCTTATTAGTTACATATTTAAGTCGTGGTTTAGTGGTAATTAATTGAAGGTGGAGGGGTTACCAGCCACTCGCACCCGTCCAGAGCCCACCGTTTAGCCCCTGTGGTGGTCACAGACGCCATGAGCGGAGGAGCCAATCGGAATTGGCCCTGCCCCCCACAGCACTGTCCACGACAGAGTTGCCCGTCCGGCACCGCGAGGATTTAGGGGGTTGTTTTGCCGCACACACTCACACACACGTACCTTATGGGGAGCGGTGGTGCAGCGGTTAGCGCTACGCTGCGCTATGAACCTGGCGACCCGGGTTCGATTCCCGCTCACGGCCAACACCAGTGACGATTATCTGAACCGGTCCGGGGCCTCCCCTAGGTCGACTCAGCCTCAAAATGAGTACCTGGTGCGGTGTGTAGTAAACATCGCCACTGGGGAGACAAAGGCGGTCGGGCGTGGTGCTGGCCACCCACCCCCTCGTGTACCGTTCCGGCCTTCATAGGTGCTCGCTAACAGCACTTGCCCCTACAGTCTGTTACAGGCTATATGGGGGATCTTTGTTATCTTTGTACCTGTGTGTGCGTAGAAGCTCCGTGCGGTCTACCTTACGGACCCGGTGCGTCTCTCCACGCTGCGTGGCCTCGTGATCCACGAGAGAGACGCCGGCGACGCCGAGTGGCCACGCTCGGGGGCCACCCTGGCACTCATGTGGCTCAAGCGGTGAGCACCACCACCACTACACCACCACTAACACTACACCAACACTACTACTACACCACCACCAACACTACACCAACACTACACCACTAACACTACACCACCACTACACCACCACCACTACACCACCACCAACACTACACCACCACCAACACTACACCAACACCAACACTACACCAACACTACACCACTAACACTACACCACCACTACACCACCACCACTACACCACCACCAACACTACACCACCACCAACACTACACTACCACCACCACTACACCAACACTACCACTACACCACCACTACACCAACACTACACCACCACTACACCAACACTACACCACTACATCACCACTACACCACTACATCACCACTACACCAACACTACACCACCACCAACACTACACCACCACTACACCAACACTACACCACCAACACTACACCACCACTACACCAACACTACACCACCAACACTACACCACCACCACTACACCACCACTACACCACCACCAACACTACACCAACACTACACCACCACTACACCACCACCACTAACACTACACCACCACTACACCAACACTACTACTACACCACCACTACACCAACACCAACACTACACCACCACCAACACTACACCACCACTACACCAACACTACACCACCACTACACCAACACTACACCACCACCAACACTACACCACCACTACACCAACACTACACCACCAACACTACACCACCACCAACACTACACCACCACTACACCAACACTACACCACTACACCACCACCAACACTACACCACCACTACACCAACACTACACCACTACATCACCACTACACCAACACTACACCACCACTACACTACTACATCACCACTACACCAACACTACACCACCACCAACACTACACCACCACTACACCAACACTACACCACCACCAACACTACACCACCACTACTACACCACCACTACCACTACACCACCACCACTACTACACCACCACTACTACTACACCACCACTACTACACCACTCCTACTACTACACCACCACTACAACACCACCACTACTACACCACTACTACTACTACACCACCACCACTACTACACCACCATCACTACTACTACACCACCACTACATCACTACTACTACACCACCACCACTACACCACCACTACCACTACACCACCACTACTACTACACCACCACCACTACACCACCACTACTACACCACCACTACCACTACACCACTACTACCACTACACCACCACTACTACCACACCACCACCACTACTACACCACCACTACTACTACACCACCACTACATCACTACTACTACACCACCACTACTACACCACCACTACCACTACACCACCACTACTACCACACCACCACCACTACTACACCACCACTACTACTACACCACCACCACTACTACACCACCACCACTACTACACCACTACTACACCACCACTACTACTACACCACCACGACACCACCACCACCACTACTACACCACCACTACTACACCACTACTACACCACCACTACTACACCACCACCACTCCTACACCACTACTACTACACCACCACTACTACTACACCACCACTAGTACACCACCACCACTACACCACCACTACTACTACACCACCACTACTACTACACCATCACTACTACACCACCACCACTACTACACTACCACCACTACACCACTACTACTACTACACCACTACTACACCACCACTACTACACCACCACCACTACTACACCACCACCACCACTACACCACCACTACTACACCACCACTACTACACCACCACTACACCACCACCACTACTACACCACCACTAGTACACCACCACTACTACACCACCAATACTACTACACCACCACCACTACTACACCACCACTACTACACCACCACTACTACACCACCACTACTACTACACCACTACTACTACACTACCACTACTACACCACCACCACTACTACACTACCACCACTACACCACTACTACTACTACACCACTACTACACCACCACTACTACACCACCACCACTACTACACCACCACCACCACTACACCACCACTACTACACCACCACTACTACACCACCACTACACCACCACCACTACTACACTACCACTACACCACCACTACACTACCACCACTACTACACCACCACTACTACACCACTACTACTACACCACCACTACTACTACACCACTACTACTACACCACTACTACTACACCACCACTACACCACCACTACTACACCACCATAACACCACCACTACACCACCACTACACTACCATCACTACTACACCACCACCACTACACCACCACTACTACTACACCACTACTACTACACCACCACTACTACACCACCACCACTACTACACCACTACTACACTACTACTACACCACCACTACTACACCACTACTACACCACCACTACTATACCACTACACCACCACTAGTACACCACCACTACTACACCACCAATACTACTACACCACCACCACTACTACACCACCACTACTACACCACCACTACTACACCACCACTACTACTACACCACTACTACTACACCACCACTACTACACCACCACCACTACTACACCACTACTACACCACTACTACACCACCACTACTACACCACTACTACACCACCACTACTATACCACTACACCACCACTAGTACACCACCACTACTACACCACCAATACTACTACACCACCACCACTACTACACCACCACTACTACACCACCACTACTACACCACCACTACTACTACACCACTACTACTACACTACCACTACTACACCACTACTACTACTACACCACTACTACTACACCACTACTACACCACCACTATTACACCACTACACCACTACTACTACACCACCACCACTACTACACCACCACTACTACTACACCACCACTACTACACCACCACTACTACACCACCACCACTACACCACCACTACACCACTACTACACCACCACTACTACACCACCACCACCACCACTACACCACCACTACTACACCACCACTACTACACCACCACCACTACACCACCACTACTACACCACTACACCACTACTACTACACCACCACCATTACTACACCACCACTACTACACCACCACTACTACACCACCACTACTACTACACTACCACTACTACACCACCACTACTACTACTACACCACTACTACTACACCACTACTACACCACCACTACTACACCACTACTACTACACCACTACTACACCACCACCACCACTACACCACCACCACTACTACACCACCACTACTACACCACCACCACTACACCACCACTACTACACCACTACGCCACTACTACTACACCACCACTACTACTACACCACCACCACTACTACACCACCACTACTACACCACCACTACTACACCACTACTACTACTACACCACTACTACTACACTACCACTACTACACCACCACTACTACTACTACTACTACACCACTACTACACCACCACTACTACACCACTACTACACCACCACTACTATACCACTACACCACCACTACTACACCACCACTACTACACCACCAATACTACTACACCACCACCACTACTACACCACCACCACTACACCACCACTACTCCACCACCACCACTACTACACCACTACTACACCACCACCACTACTACACCTCCATCACTACACCACTACTACTACACCACCACTACCACTACACCACCACTACTACACCACCATAACACCACCACTACACCACCACTACACTACCATCACTACTACACCACCACCACTACACCACCACTACTACTACACCACTACTACTACACCACCACTATTACACCACCACCACTACTACACCACCATCACTACACCACCACTACTACACTACCACTACTACACTACCACTACTACACCACCACCACTACACTACCACCACTACACTACCACTACTACTACACCACTACACCACCACTACTACACCACCACCACTACTACACCACCACCACTACCACACCACTACTACACCACCACTACTACTACACAACTACTACACCACTACTACTACACTACCACTACTACTACACCACCACCACTACTACACCACTACTACACTACTACTACACCACCACTACTACACCACTACTACACCACCACTACTACACCACTACTACACCACCACTACTATACCACTACACCACCACTACTACACCACCACTACTACTCCACCAATACTACTACACCACCACCACTACTACACCACCACTACTACACCACCACTACTACACCACCACTACTACTACACCACTACTAGTACACTACCACTACTACACCACTACTACTACTACTACACCACTACTACTACACCACTACTACACCACTACTATTACACCACTACTACTACACCACCACCACTACTACACCACCACTACTACTACACCACCACTACTACACCACCACTACTACACCACCACCACTACACCACCACTACTACACCACCACTACTACACCACCACCACTACACCACCACTACTACACCACTACACCACTACTACTACACCACCACCACCATTACTACACCACCACTACTACACCACCACTACTACACCACCACTACTACTACACTACCACTACTACACCACCACTACTACTACTACACCACTACTACTACACCACCACTACTACACCACTACTACTACACCACTACTACACCACCACCACCACTACTACACCACCACTACTACACCACCACCACTACTACTACACCACCACCACTACTACACCACCACTACTACTACACCACCACCACTACTACACCACCACTACTACACCACCACTACTACACCACCACTACTACTACTACACCACTACTACTACACTACCACTACTACACCACCACTACTACTACTACACCACTACTACACCACCACTACTACACCACTACTACTACACCACTACTACACCACCACCACTACTACACCACCACCACTACCACTATTACACCACTACTACACCACTACTACTACACCACCACTACTACACCACCACTACTACACCACCACCACTACACCACCACTACACCACTACTACACCACTACTACACCACCACTACTACACCACCACTACTACACCACCACTTCTACACCACCACCACCACTACACCACCACCACTACTACACCACCACCACTACTACACCACTACTACTACACCACCACCACTACTACACCACCACTACTACTACACCACCACCACTACTACACCACCACTACTACACCACCACTACTACACTACTACTACTACTACACCACTACTACTACACTACCACTAATACACCACCACTACTACTACTACACTACTACTACACCACTACTACTACACCACCACTACTACTACACCACTACTACTACACTACCACTACTACACCACTACTACTACACCACTACTACACTACTACTACACCACCACTACTACACCACTACTACACCACCACGACTACACCACTACTACACCACCACTACTATACCACTACACCACCACTACTACACCACCACTACTACTCCACCAATACTACTACACCACCACCACTACTACACCACCACTACTACACCACCACTACTACACCACCACTACTACTACACCACTACTACTACACTACCACTACTACACCACTACTACTACTACTACACCACTACTACTACACCACTACTACACCACCACTATTACACCACTACACCACTACTACTACACCACCACCACTACTACACCACTACTACACCACCACTACTACACCACCACCACTACACCACCACTACACCACTACTACACCACCACTACTACACCACCACCACCACCACTACACCACCACTACTACACCACCACTACTACACCACCACCACTACACCACCACTACTACACCACTACACCACTACTACTACACCACCACCACCATTACTACACCACCACTACTACACCACCACTACTACACCACCACTACTACTACACTACCACTACTACACCACCACTACTACTACTACACCACTACTACTACACCGCTACTACACCACCACTACTACACCACTACTACTACACCACTACTACACCACCACCACCACTACACCACCACCACTACTACACCACCACTACTACACCACCACCACTACACCACCACTACTACACCACTACACCACTACTACTACACCACCACCACTACTACACCACCACTACTACTACACCACCACCACTACTACACCACCACTACTACACCACCACTACTACACCACCACTACTACTACTACACCACTACTACACCACCACTACTACACCACTACTACTACACCACTACTACACCACCACCACTACTACACCACCACCACTACCACTATTACACCACTACTACACCACTACTACTACACCACCACTACTACACCACCACTACTACACCACCACCACTACACCACCACTACACCACTACTACACCACTACTACACCACCACTACACCACCACCACTACTACACCACTACTACTACACCACCACCACTACTACACCACCACTACTACTACACCACCACCACTACTACACCACCACTACTACACCACCACTACTACACTACTACTACACCACTACTACTACACTACCACTAATACACCACCACTACTACTACTACACTACTACTACACCACTACTACTACACCACCACTACTACTACACCACTACTACTACACCACTACTACTACACCACCACTACTACACCACCACTACTACACCACCACTACTACTACACCACTACTACTACACTACCACTACTACACCACCACCACTACTACACCACCACTACTACACCACCACTACTACACCACCACTACTACACCACCACTACTACACCACCACTACTACTACACTACCACTACTACACCACCACTACTACTACTACTACACCACTACCACTACTACACCACCACTACTACACCACCACCACTACACTACCACTACTACACCACCACCACTACTACACCACTACTACTACACCACCACTACTACACCACCACTACTACTACTGCTACACTACCACTACTACACCACCACTACTACTACACCACTACTACACCACCACTACTACACCACTACTACTACACCACTACTACACCACCACCACTACTACACCACCACCACTACCACTACTACACCACTACTACACCACTACTACACCACTACTACTACACCACCACCACTACACCACCACTACACCACTACTACACCACTACTACTACACCACTACTACACCACCACTTCTACACCACCACCACCACTACACCACCACCACTACTACTACACCACTACTACAACACCACCACTACTACACCACTACTACTACACCACCACTACTACTACACCACCACTACTACACCACCACTACTACTACACCACCACCACTACTACACCACCACTACTACTACACCACCACCACTACTACACCACCACTACTACTACACCACCACCACTACTACACCACCACTACTACAACACCACTACTACTACACCACTACTACTACACTACCACTACTACACCACCACTACTACTACTACACTACTACTACTACTACACCACTACTACTACACCACCACTACTACTACACCACTACTACTACACTACCACTACTACACCACCACTACTACACCACTACTACTACACCACCACTACTACACCACCACTACTACACCACCACTACTACCACACTACCACACCACCACCACTACTACACCACCACTACTACACCACCACTACTACTACTACACCACTACTACTACTACTACACCACTACTACTACACCACTACTACACGACTACTACACCACCACTACTACACCACGACTACACCACTTCTACCACTACTACACCACCACTACTACTACTACACCACTACTACACCACTACTACTACACCACTACTACTACACCACTACTACACCACTACTACTACACCACCACTACTACACCACTACTACACCACTACTACTACACCACTACTACTACACCACTACCACTACTACACCACTACTACTACACCACCACTACTACACCACCACTACTACACCACTACTACACCACCACTACTACACCACTACACCACCACTACTACACCACCACTACTACACTACCACTACTACACCACTTCTACTACACCACTACTACTACACCACTACACCACCACTACTACACCACCACCACCACTACACCACCACTACTACACCACTACCACTACTACTACACTACTACACCACTACCACTACTACACCACCACTACTACACCACTACCACTACTACACCACCACCACTACTACACCACCACCACCACTACTACACCACCACTACTACTACACCATCACTACTACACCACCACTACTACTACACCACCACTACTACACCACCACTACTACTACACCACCACTACTAAACCACCACCACTACTACACCACCACCACTACTACACCACCACTACTACACCACCACTACTACTACACCACCACTACTACACCACCACCACTACTACACCACCACCACTACTACACCACCACTACCACTACACCACCACTACTACCACACCACTACTACTACACTACTACACCACCACCACTACTACACCACCACTACTACACCACCACTACTACACCACTACTACACCACTACCACTACTACACCACCGCCACTACTACTACACCACTACTACTACACCACTACTACTACACCACCACTACTACACTACTACTACACCACCACTACTACACCACCACTACTACACCACCACTACACCATCACCACTACTACACCACCACTACTACACCACCACTACTACACCACTACTACACCACTACTACACCACTACCACTACTACACCACTACTACACCACTACTACACCACTACTACACCACCACTACTACACCACTACACCACCACTACTACACCACTACTACACCACTACTACACCACCACTACTACACCACTACACCACTACTACTACACCACTACTACTACACCACCACCACTACACCACCACTACTACACCACCACCACTACTACACCACCACTACTACACCACCACTACACCACTACTACACCACCACTACTACACCACCACCACTACTACACCACTACTACACCACTACTACACCACTACCACTACTACACCACTACTACACCACTACTACTACACTACTACTACACCACTACTACACCACTACTACTACACTACTACTACACCACTACTACACCACTACTACTACACCACTACTACACCACTACTACCACTACTACACCACCACCACTACTACACCACCACCACTATTACACCACCACCACCACTACTACACCACCACTACTACTACTACACCACTACTACACCACTACTACACCACTACTACTACACCACCACTACTACACCACTACTACACCACCACTACTACACTACCACTACTACACCACCACCACTACACCACTACTACACCACTACTACACCACTACTACACCACTACTACTACACCACTACACCACTACTACACCACCACCACCACTACTACACCACTACACCACCACCACTACTACACCACCACTACTACACCACCACTACTACACCACTACTACACTACTACTACACCACCACCACTACTACACCACTACTACACCACCACTACTACACCACCACCACTACTACACCACTACTACACCACCACTACTACACCACTACTACACTACTACTACACCACCACCACTACTACACCACTACACCACCACCACTACTACACCACTACACCACCACTACTACACCACCACTACTACACCACCACTACTACACCACCACCACTACTACACCACTACTACACTACTACTACACCACCACTACTACACTACTACTACACCACCACCACTACCTCCATCCCCCCCCCCCTCCCTCCAGGGGTCTCCGCTTCATCCAGACGCTGCTGCAGAGTTTGGTGGACGGAGTTCGCGACGAGCGGCACCCAAACCACATGACGGTCAACGCCACCCTCGCCTACACAGCGTCACTGCGGAGATATCACGGGTGGCTCGTGAGGGGGGTCTTCTCCGTGAGTCGCTCAGTCAGTCAGTCTCTCAGTCAGTCTCTCAGTCAGTCACTCAGTCGCTGGCCTACACAGCGTCACTGCGGAGATATCACGGGTGGCTCGTGAGGGGGGTCTTCTCTGTGAGTCGCTCAGTCAGTCAGTCTCTCAGTCAGTCTCTCAGTCAGTCGCTCAGTCAGTCAGTCGCTCAGTCAGTCGCTGGCCTACACAGCGTCACTGCGGAGATATCACGGGTGGCTCGTGAGGGGGGTCTTCTCTGTGAGTCGCTCAGTCAGTCAGTCTCTCAGTCAGTCTCTCAGTCAGTCGCTCAGTCAGTCAGTCGCTCAGTCAGTCGCTGGCCTACACAGCGTCACTGCGGAGATATCACGGGTGGCTCGTGAGGGGGGTCTTCTCCGTGAGTCAGTCGCTCAGTCAGTCGCTGGCCTACACAGCGTCACTGCGGAGATATCACGGGTGGCTCGTGAGGGGGGTCTTCTCTGTGAGTCACTCAGTCAGTCACTCAGTCGCTCAGTCAGTCAGTCGCTCAGTCAGTCGCTGGCCTACACAGCGTCACTGCGGAGATATCACGGGTGGCTCGTGAGGGGGGTCTTCTCTGTGAGTCACTCACTCAGTCGCTCGCTCAGTCAGTCACTCAGTCAGTCAGTCGCTCAGTCAGTCGCTGGCCTACACAGCGTCACTGCGGAGATATCACGGGTGGCTCGTGAGGGGGGTCTTCTCCGTGAGTCAGTCTCTCAGTCAGTCTCTCAGTCAGTCAGTCAGTCGCTCAGTCAGTCCCTCAGTCAGTCAGTCGCTCAGTCAGTCGCTCAGTCAGTCAGTCGCTGGCCTACACAGCGTCACTGCGGAGATATCACGGGTGGCTCGTGAGGGGGGTCTTCTCCGTGAGTCACTCACTCAGTCAGTCAGTCACTCAGTCAGTCGCTCAGTCAGTCGCTCAGTCAGTCGCTCAGTCAGTCGCTGGCCTACACAGCGTCACTGCGGAGATATGACGGGTGGCTCGTGAGGGGGGTCTTCTCCTTGAGTCAGTCTCTCAGTCAGTCAGTCAGTCAGTCAGTCGCTCGGTCCGTCAGTCAGTCTGTCTCTCAGTCAGTCAGTCACACAGTCAGTCTCTCAGTCAGTCAGTCTCTCAGTCAGTCGCTCAGTCAGTCAGTCGCTCGCTCAGTCATTCGCTCAGTCAGTCGCTCAGTCAGTCACTCAGTCAGTCTCTCAGTCAGTCAGTCGCTTGCTCAGTCAGTCTCTCAGTCAGTCGCTCACTCAGTCAGTCAGTCAGTCGCTGGCCTACGCAGCGTCACTGCGGAGATATCACGGGTGGCTCGTGAGGGGGGTCTTCTCCGTGAGTCACTCGCTCAGTCAGTCAGTCAGTCAGTCGCTCAGTCAGTCAGTCGCTCAGTCAGTCGCTCAGTCAGTCGCTCAGTCAGTCGCTCGCTCAGTCATTCGCTCAGTCAGTCAGTCGCTCAGTCAGTCGCTCAGTCAGTCGCTAAGTCAGTCAGTCAGTCTCTCAGTCAGTCAGTCAGTCAGTCGCTCAGTCGCTCAGTCAGTCGCTCAGTCAGTCGCTCACTCAGTCAGTCAGTCTCTCAGTCAGTCGCTCAGTCAGTAACTCAGTCAGTCACTCAGTCGCTCAGTCAGTCGCTCGCTCAGTCAGTCGCTCAGTCAGTCAGTCAGTCGCTCAGTCGCTCAGTCAGTCGCTCAGTCAGTCGCTCAGCCAGTCACTCAGTCGCTCAGTCGCTCGCTCAGTCAGTCGCTCAGCCAGTCAGTCGCTCAGTCAGTCGTTCAGTCGCTCAGCCAGTCACTCAGTCGCTCAGTCAGTCGCCCAGTCAGTCGCTCAGTCAGTCGCCCAGTCAGTCGCTCAGTCGCTCGCTCAGTCAGTCGCTTAGTCAGTCGCTCAGTCAGTCGCTCAGTCAGTCGCTCAGTCAGTCAGTCAGTCGCTCAGTCAGTCGCTCGCTCAGTCAGTTGCTCGCTCAGTCGCTCAGTCAGTCGCTCAGTCAGTCGCTCAGTCAGTGGCTCAGTCTCTCGCTCAGTCGCTCGCTCAGTCAGTCACTCAGTCAGTCGCTCACTCAGTCACTCAGTCACTCAGTCAGTCGCTCAGTCACTCGCTCAGTCAGTCGCTCACTAAGTCGCTCAGTCACTCAGTCAGTCACTCAGTCGCTCAGTCAGTCGCTCAGTCAGTCACTCAGTCACTCAGTCAGTCGCTCAGTCAGTCGCTCAGTCAGTCGCTCGCTCAGTCAGTTGCTCGCTCAGTCGCTCAGTCAGTCGCTCAGTCAGTCGCTCAGTCAGTGGCTCAGTCTCTCGCTCAGTCGCTCGCTCAGTCAGTCACTCAGTCAGTCGCTCACTCAGTCACTCAGTCAGTCGCTCAGTCACTCGCTCAGTCAGTCGCTCAGTCAGTCGCTCACTAAGTCGCTCAGTCGCTCAGTCAGTCACTCAGTCGCTCAGTCAGTCACTCAGTCGCTCAGTCAGTCGCTCATTCACTCGCTTACTCACACAAGCAGGTACAAGTATCTGTGCCTGCGTGTGTCTGTGTGTGTCTATGTGTGTCTGTGTGTGTCTATGTGTGTCTGTGTGTATGTGTCTGTGTGTGTCTGTGTGTGTCTGTGTGTGTTTATGTGTGTCTATGTGTGTCTGTGCCTGCGTGTGTGTCTGTGTGTGTCTGTGTGTGTGTGTCTATGTGTGTCAGTGTGTGTCTGTGTGTGTCTGTTTGTGTCTGTGTGTGTCTATGTGTGTCTGTGTGTGTCTGTGTGTATGTGTCTATGTCTGTGTGTATGTGTCTAAGTGTCTATGTCTGTGTGTGTCTGTGTGTGTCTGTGTGTGTCTGTGCCTGCGTGTGTGTCTATGTGTGTCTGTGTGTATGTGTCTGTGTGTGTCTGTGTGTGTCTGTGTGTTTGTGTCTGTACAGGTGTCTGTACCTGCATGTGTGGTTGTGTGTCTGTATGTATGTGTCCGTGTGTATGTGTGTATGTGTCTGTGTGTATATGTGTCTGTGTGTGTCTGTGTGTATGTGTCTATGTCTGTGTGTATGTCTGTGTGTGTCTGTGTGTATGTGTCTATGTGTATGTGTCTATGTCTGTGTGTGTCTGTGTGTGTCTGTGTGTATGTGTATATGTCTGTGTGTTTCTGTGTGTACGTGTCTGTGTGTATGTGTCTGTGTGTGTGTGTCTGTGTGTGTGTGTCTGTGTATGTGTGTCTATGTCTGTGTGTGTCTGTGTGTATGTGTCCATGTGTCTGTGTGTGTGTCTATATCTGTGTGTGTCTGTGTGTATGTTTCTGTGTGTGTCTGTATCTGTGTGTACGTGTCTGTGTGTGTCTATGTCTGTGTGTCTATGTCTGTGTGTGTCTATGTATGTGTGTGTCTGTGTGTGTCTATGTGTGTGTGTGTCTATGTCTGTGTGTGTCTGTGTGTGTGTCTATGTCTGCGTGTGTGTCTATGTGTGTGTCTGTGTGTGTGTCTATGTGTGTGTGTGTCTATGTCTGTGTGTGTGTCTATGTCTGTGTGTGTGTCTATGTCTGTGTGTGTGTCTATGTCTGTGTGTGTCTATGCCTGTGTGTGTGTCTATGCCTGTGTGTGTCTGTGTGTGTGTCTATGTCTGTGTGTGTCTGTGTGTGTCTGTGTGTGTGTCTATGTATGTGTCTATGCCTGTGTGTGTGTCTATGTCTATGTGTGTCTGTGTGTGTGTCTATGTCTGTGTGTGTGTCTGTGTGCACGTGTCTATGTATGTGTCTATGTCTGTGTGTCTGTGTGTGTGTCTGTGTGCACGTGTCTATCCGCGCGTGTCCGTGTGTGCCTGCAGGCGGCCGTGCACGGCGCTCCGTACCGCTCAGATTTCCTGCGGGCTCTGTCCAAGGGTGCAGCCGTGCCCGAAGAACTCTGCCTGGAGCAGATCGCCCTGTTCCTGCGAAACTTCACCCCGCACGTGGACGCCATCTACCGCCTCTACGATGAGCTGGGGGCGGAGCTAGACTACACAGCATAGACACACAGCGTACACACAGCGTACACACACACAGCGTACACACACAGCGTACACACAGCGTACACACACACAGCGTACACACACACAGCATACACACAGCATACACACAGCATACACACACACAGCGTACACACACACAGCGTACACACACACAACAGATCGCCCTGTTCCTGAGAAACTTCACCCCGCACGTGGACGCCATCTACCGCCTCTACGATGAGCTGGGGGCGGAGCTAGACTACACAGCATAGACACAGCATACACACAGCATACACACAGCGTACACACACAGCGTACACACACACAGCGTACACACACACAACAGATCGCCCTGTTCCTGAGAAACTTCACCCCGCACGTGGACGCCATCTACCGCCTCTATGATGAGCTGGGGGCGGAGCTAGACTACACAGCATAGACACAGCATACACACAGCATACACACAGCGTACACACACAGCGTACACACACACAGCGTACACACAGCGTACACACACAGCGTACACACACAGCGTACACACACAGCGTACACACACAGCGTACACACAGCGTACACACACACAGCGTACACACACACAGCGTACACACACAGCGTACACACACAGCGTACACACACAGCGTACACACAGCGTACACACACACAGCGTACACACACAGCGTACACACACACAGCGTACACACACAGCGTACACACACACAGCGTACACACACACAGCGTGCACACGCAGCGTACACACACACAGCGTACACACGCAGCGTACACACACAGCGTACACACACAGCGTTCACACACAGCGTACACACAGCGTACACACACACAGCGTACACACAGCGTACACACACACAGCGTACACACAGCGTACACACACACAGCGTACACACAGCGTACACACACAGCGTACACACAGCGTACACACACAGCGTACACACAGCGTACACACACAGCGTAGACACACAGCGTACACACACACAGCGTACACACACAGCGTGCACACACACAGCATACACACACACAGCGTACACACAGCGTACACACACAGCGTACACACAGCGTACACACACAGCGTACACACACACAGCGTACACACACACAGCGTACACACACAGCGTGCACACACACAGCATACACACACACAGCGTACACACAGCGTACACACACAGCGTACACACAGCGTACACACACAGCGTACACACACACAGCGAACACACACACAGCGTACACACACACAGCGTACACACAGCGTACACACACACAGCGTACACACAGCGTACACACACAGCGTACACACAGCGTACACACACAGCGTACACACAGCGTACACACACAGCGTAGACACACAGCGTACACACACACAGCGTACACACACAGCGTGCACACACACAGCATACACACACACAGCGTACACACAGCGTACACACACAGCGTACACACAGCGTACACACACAGCGTACACACACACAGCGTACACACACACAGCGTACACACACAGCGTGCACACACACAGCATACACACACACAGCGTACACACAGCGTACACACACAGCGTACACACAGCGTACACACACAGCGTACACACACACAGCGTACACACACACAGCGTACACACACACAGCGTACACACACAGCGTACACACACAGCGTACACACACACAGCGTACACACAAACAGCGTACACACACAGCGTACACACACAGCGTACACACATAGCATACACACAGCGTACACACACAGCGTACACACACAGCGTACACACACACAGCGTACACACAGCGTAGACACACAGCATACACACATAGCATACACACAGCATACACACAGCATACACACACAGCATACACACAGCATACACACAGCATACACACAGCGTACACACACAGCATACACACACAGCATACACACACAGCATACACACACAGCATACACACACAGCATACACACACAGCATACACACACAGCATACACACACAGCATAGACACACAGCATACACACAGCATACACACACAGCATACACACAGCATGCACACACAGCATACAGACACAGCATACACACACAGCATAGACACAGCATGCACACACAGCATACACACAGCGTACACACACAGCGTACACACAGCATACACACACAGCATACACACACAGCATACACACACAGCATACACACACAGCATAGACACAGCATGCACACACAGCATACACACAGCGTACACACACAGCATACACACACAGCATAGACACACAGCATACACACACAGCATACAGACAGCATACATACACAGCATACATACACAGCATACACACACAGCATACACACACAGCATACACACACAGCATACAGACAGCATACACACACAGCATACACACAGCATAGACACAGCATACACACACAGCATACACACACAGCATACACACACAGCATAGACACACGGCATACACACACACAGCATACACACAGCATACACACACAGCATACAGACACAGCATACACACACAGCATACACACACAGCATACACACACAGCATACAGACAGCATACACACACAGCATACACACAGCATACACACAGCATACACACACAGCATAGACACACGGCATACACACACAGCATACACACAGCATACACACAGCATACACACACAGCATACACACACAGCATACACACACAGCATACACACAGCATACACACACAGCATACACACAGCATACACACAGCATACACACACAGCATACACACACAGCATACACACACAGCATAGACACAGCATGCACACACTGCATACACACACAGAATACACACAGCCTAGCTGCAGCTACACAAATAGCTACATAGCAGCTCGATGGTGGGACCTTACATCCAGTAAAATAAACAATAGTTAGTTTTAGTATGGGTCTCTATGGGTCTCTGTGGGTCTGTATGGGTCTCTATGGGTCTCTGTGGGTCTCGATGGGTCTGTATGGGTCTCTATGGGTCTCTATGGGTCTCTGTGGGTCTCGATGGGTCTGTATGGGTTTCTGTGGGTTTGTGTGGCTCTGTGGGTCTGTATGGGTCTCTGTGGGTCTCTGGGTCTCTGAGTCTCTGTGGGTCTCTATGGGTCTCTGTGGGTCTGTATGGGTCTCTGTGGGTCTCTATGGGTCTCTATGGGTCTCTGTGGGTCTCTGTGGGTCTGTGTGGGTCTCTGTGGGTCTCTATGGGTCTCTGTGGGTCTCTATGGGTCTCTATGGGTCTCTGTGGGTCTCTGTGGGTCTGTGTGGGTCTCTGTGGGTCTCTATGGGTCTCTGTGGGTCTCTATGGGTCTCTATGGGTCTCTGTGGGTCTCTGTGGGTCTGTGTGGGTCTCTATGGGTCTCTGTGGGTCTCTGTGGGTCTGTGTGGGTCTCTGTGGGTCTCTATGGGTCTCTGTGGGTCTCTGTGGGTCTCTGTGGGTGTCTGTGGGTCTCTATGGGTCTCTGTGGGTCTCTATGGGTCTCTCTGTGGGTCTCTCTGTGGGTCTCTATGGGCCTCTATGGGTCTCTGTGGGCCTCTATAAACGTGCGTTTCGAGTCAATATTAGGCTGCTGCTACTACACAATTCCACGCGACGACAATGACGATGGCGATGGCTGACCAGCTATCATTTGCTTTTGCCCCGGCTGAGTAAAAGTAAGCAAGAAAAAAATTATACCAAAAAAATTTGACGTTAATTGCCCGGCGTGGTTTGCGGTCGACCAAGCCGACCGGCTCACGAGGCCACCCTGACCCCAGGCTGGCTGTGTCCGGGGTTGTGGTGGTGGAGGTGGTGGTGGTGGTGGTTGTGGTGGTGGTGGTTGTGGTGGTGGTGGTGGTGGTGGTTGTGGTGGTGGTGGTGGTTGTGGTGGTGGTGGTGGTTGTGGTGGTGGTGGAGGTGGTGGTGGTGGTGGTTGTGGTGGTGGTGGTTGTGGTGGTGGTTGTGGTGGTGGTGGTGGTGGTGGTTGTGGTGGTGGTGGTGGTGGTTGTGGTGGTGGTTGTGGTGGTGGTGGTTGTGGTGGTGGTGGTTGTGGTTGTGGTGGTTGTGGTGGTGGTTGTGGTGGTGGTGCTGGTTGTGGTGGTGGTGGTTGTGGTGGTGGTGGTTGTGGTGGTGGTGGTTTTGACGACGCAGAAGATGAATCTGACGCCATCTGAAGTCAACACGGAAGGCCTGCGTGTTGTGGATGTTGGTTGATGATGCTGCCACTATTACTACTATCACTACTATTACACTACTATTACACTACTACACTACTACTACTACTACACTACTACCACCACTACTACTACTACCACCACTACCACCACCACTACTACTACCACCACCACTACTACCCCCACCACTACTACTACCACTACCACCACTACTACTACTACCACCACTACCACCCCCACTACTACTACCACCACTACCACCACCACTACTACACCACCACTACTACTACCAGCACTACTACTACCACCACTACTACTACCACTACTACCCCCACTACTACTACCACTACTACTACCACCACCACTACTACCCCCACCACTACTACTACCACTACCACCACTACTACTACCACCACTACCACCCCCACTACTACTACCACCACCACCACTACTACCCCCACCACTACTACCACCACCACCACTACTACCACCACTACCACCACCACTACCACCACCACCACTACTATCACCACTACTACCACCACCACCCCGACACAGGCAATCGGTTGAGTAGTCTTGTGACCTGTACGTGCCGACTAAGCGACTCGCTCCATTCTTGTCCCGGGGCGTCTGCGGTTCGTGACTACCGTTACTCATGGCCAGCACGAGGTCTATTTTAATAATAATAATGATGATTGTTGTAATAATGATATTTTCAAATCAAATTGATGATGTCGCTCAATCGTGCGTGTGTGTACACGTGTGTGTGCACGTGTGTGTACACGTGTGTGTGCACGTGTGTGTACACGTGTGTGTGCACGTGTGTGTACACGTGTGTGTGCACGTGTGTGTACACGTGTGTGTGCACGTGTGTGTACACGTGTGTGTACGTGTGTGTACGTGTGTGTACGTGTGTGTACGTGTGTGTGTGTACACACGTGTGTGTACGTGTACACACACGTGTGTACACACACACACGTGTGTGTACGTGTGCACACGCGTGTGTGTGTGTACACACGTGTGTGTGTGTGTACACACGTGTGTGTGTGTGTACACACGTGTGTGTGTGTACACACGTGTGTGTGTGTGTGTACACACGTGTGTGTGTGTGTGTACACACGTGTGTGTGTGTACACACGTGTGTGTGTGTACACACGTGTGTGTGTGTGGGGGAGCGGTGGTGCAGTGGTTAGCGCTACGCTGCGCTATGAACCCGGCGACCCGGGTTCGATTCCCGCTCACGGCCAACACCGCCAGTGACGATTCTCTGAACCGGTCCTGGGCCTCCCCTAGGTCGACTCAGCCTCAAATGAGTGGGTGAGTGGGTGGGTGAGTGAGTGAGTGAGTAAATGGGTGGGTGGGTGAGTGAGTGGGTGGGTGAGTGAGTGAG